GTACGAATCTATATCTCTATTCTCATTACAAAAGTAATAATTACAATAAGACAATGGTGAAATAAGTGGTCACATGTACAGCATGTCTCATGAAAACTGACTTGAAATATTTTTATTATTTCACAGAACATGCGGAAATATTTCTAATAAAAAATATAGATTTTAAAGGAATACATATTGCAGAGAGAGAGTAATAATACCTAGTAAGCAATTTGTTATTGTCTTAGGCGATTTTTATAATTACACGAAATTATTATAATACTCACTATGAGGAGAAAAAAGATTTTCTCTCTATTCTAAAATTTGATTCTGTTTTTTTTTTAGTATAATTACAAATAACACATTACATATTGCACACATATCGCAATTCAAAATAGACACATTAGACTTGAAATTTGAAGAATATATTTTACAGCCACCACTTCCAATACAAGACACCAGGAGGTGCCCAGTCTGGCTGCAGTCTCCACCGCTGGACGCCAGGAGGTGTTAATAAAGTTAATTGCTTACATTACAGGTTAAGGTAACCATGATACTCAGAATAACAATCAAGAAATGAACGAACTGTCTTACTTATTTGGTCAATTTTTACATTTGAAATGAAATAGAATGGAAGTTTGTTGAAACAGTTTCACTTTTACACTGTTTTATTAAGAATCAATAGGATTCTACAATGGCAGAAATAATATTGAGTGCCGGTGAAAAAACTTTTATTCTTCATGGTGTAGATGTAAGCTAATAATATTTAACAAGCTTAAAATAAAGTTATTTTATTATTTTATTAGTAGCATCATTTTGTAATTATTAGGCAGACTCTAGGAATGATGGCAGAAGGCGATGCGAATATCGAACTATGGAAATCGAAACTAAATTAATGCCACAAACTCATGGTTCAGCAAGATTACGTATTGGAAATACTGATATACTTGTTGGTATTAAAGTAGAACTTGACACTCCAAATGCTGATACACCAGACGAAGGAAATTTAGAATTTTTTGTTGATTGGTATATAGTATTATGAGCTCTATGTCTTTTTTCTAGAATACTAAGCAATCACTTATAAGCTATTTTTATTTTATAGCTCTGCCAATGCGACTCCGGCATTTGAAGGAAAAGGTGGCGATGATTTAGCAACTGAAATAAGTAATACTCTTGCAATAGCTTATCAAACACGTAATGCTTTTGATTTAAGAACACTATCTATTTTACCTGGCAAAAGATGTTGGAAAGTTTATGTTGACATATTGGTAAGCTAATATGGTTACTAGAACTTGAACAAAAATATCTCTAATTAATACGGCTTCGACATGTATAATACAGGTTCTTCAATGTGGTGGAAATTTGTTCGATGCAATTGGAGCAGCAGTTAAAAGTGCACTATATAGTACAGAAATTCCAAAAATTATAGCAGCTACACTTGATGGTGGTGAACCAGATATTCAATTATCAGATGATGCATACGATTGTATTCAGTTAGATACAAATAACTGTCCAGTCATTGTAACACTCTGCAAAGTATGTTCGTTATATATTGTTTTACATTATTCTTTACATTCGTCCTTTTATAAATAGTTAGTATAACTTTTGAAGTAAATACATTTAAGTCCTCATTTTCATTATTTAATCTTTTACTGTTGATTTATTATAGATCGGAGAGAACTATGTAGTTGATCCTACATTGGAAGAAGAAGTATGCAGTGCAAGCAGTATAATTATGTCTGTATTACCTAGTGGTAAAATTTCATCAATAGTTAAATTGGGTTATGGTAGCATTCAGCCCGGTACTTTCAATAAAATGTTAAAGGTAAAACAAATATATATCATTTATAGAAGAAGTACTCAGGAATTATTTCTAAGAGAATTATATTTTTAGCTGGGCCAAAATATTGGATTACATTTAAATGAAGGCATAATGAAAGCATTGAATGAAGAAAGTCAACTTGGTACAAAAAGAGAAATATTTGGCTTTCTTAGATGAAATATGTAGTCACCTATATTTTGTATATAATAAATACATTATATTTTATTCAATCACAAATTGTTATTTACCATTGTCTGTCATCATATTT